ATTCCCATATCTTTTCTTGGCCAAAAATTGGAAAAGCAAAAGCATGGTCAAATTAGAAGGGAAAATATTTCTTGAGAGTTTCTCTGTTGGTTTTCAGAAATTAAATGAAATCTGAGTGAGCTGAACAAATGTCCTCATTATATCCAATTTGTTTAGTTTATAACACCTTTTAAATTTCTAAGGAAAATATTTTAAATGCCTAATTCCAAAGGAAAAAAAAATTTAAGTTATTCCAAAGAGGGTTTTAAAAATTTCAGGTAGGGTGGGCAGTATCAATTTCATTCTTTGATTTTGAGGACTGTTGACCAAAGAGTATATTTTTAAGGTTTAAGTAGCATGTTCAATTAATTGTCTCACTTGGATATGTTCTTAAGAATGTTTCTACAACTTTAAGGAATATGTATCTCCATTTTCAAGGAAAATTAAAACTTACCGTAGTCCGAAATGTCCAAGACTGTTCCAACATTCTGAATATATTTTTGAAAGCTTGGAAAATGTAATCAGGGTCATTAACCCATCAGGGGATTTCAGTAGCTCTGGGGATCTTTTAAGCTAATTTGAGGATTTGCCGCAGAATAGGAAAGAGATAGCTGGAAGAAAAGGATTTCATTTTTATAACTTGTTTTCTCTGTGAGATGCATTTAGACAATTCTTCCACCTGGAAAATGTTCTACCAGTTTAAAATAATGTTTCTGACCAGCTTCTCAACCTAAGTGCTGGCAACTCTTTTTTAGATGGGTGGCTATGAGCTTTTCACCACCCCTGGGTCCAGCTGTAGTCCTAGAAGGGAGTACAGTGTCTGAACATGAGAACTATTGAGGTGCCAACAGTGAAGTGCCGACATTGTTTCTTTCTGTGTTACCGTTCTTGATAGAGCTCCATTAATGCAGGAAAACACCACTGGACATGGAAATAGCAGGTGGGCAGGACTCGGATACTGGGGAAGCCAGTGTTATGTTCCCTGAGGCTCCTTTAGCATCAAGTGAAACCAATGTCTGAACTCAAAATGCTCAGTGAAACTCACATTTTGAGTTAACATGATATGAAACCATTTTTCATATCAATAATTGGATGCTACACAGTTATTGCCATCTACGTTGGCCATTTTAAAGCTTCCATAGATGGGTTTGCCCAAGGTGCAGTCAGATGTTTAGATGTGAGTATGGACTTGCTCACGTGGTGCTAGACTTTCATTGATTTTAGAGTTATTTGGCTTCTAATTTTGCTAGACATATTTGAAAATCTCACTTGCTTTGTGGTGATTCCCAACTTTGTTTTTGCTGTCATTTCAAATAAATGAAAGCTGTAGATACTAGAATTTACACTGAATAGAAACATCTTAATTCCATTTCAAAGCAGTCCAAATACTGTCTTTAATTTCATGGAGCACAGCTCAGCCATACTGGAAATCGGTACACAACAGTATCACATTTCTGTAGGAAAACTAGAAAATGGAACATGAAATGCCTCTTCATGTCCATAGAAAAGTATTCTACTCAGATTAAACACATCACCAGCCATTCAACCATATGATTGCTAGTTAAGTATGCCATTTTATGTAAGTCCTGATACTTAACAAAAATGTCTCCTTAGTCCATGGCCGTCATTGTGTGTAACTGGTATCTTTTAAGAATCTAACTATGTGATTGGCAGTCCCATTTGAATAGTTAGGTGTCTAAATGCCGTCAGTGTTCTTACAGGAACTTATAGTATCAAAAATGAATGCCAGTCTTCAAATTTCTTGGCCAGGTGTTTCTACAGAGGGCTTATAATTTAAGATTTTATAACAATAATTCCAATATGAACTTGTATGATATTTCATTAAAATACAAGTATAGAGAGGCATCTAAAATGCCTATTTCTAGAATATTTCTTTTAAAATTATTCTTTTTCAAATAAAACTAAAGGTAGCAAATAAAAGGTAGCAAAATGGTTATTTATAGTGATAGCACCAGAATCCAATTTAACATCTGCATCTTCTGGTAACAGTTCCTTGCATTAAAGCTTCTAGTTCCCAGACAATAGATGCCATCATATTCTATGATAGTCTAACTCATGAAAGAAAACTACTTTTGCTATTTTTTGACTGTCGCATCTTACAAAAGCAGTAGCTATTGCCTAACTGAAGACTGCTATCAGAAGCGTTGTATGCAATCTAATGCTAGGATATGACATTTCCAGTTCTGATGCAATTCAAATAAGTGTACCGTACATTTCCCACTGCAGCATGATCTCGATGCATCTATACTTTTTTAGTGTTGCTGATCAAAGTTCCAGTCCCAGAAACCTTACCTGACTGGGATGATCTTACTTGCTTCGAGGTCTCATTGAAAACTGCTCATGAAGGTCCGGAGTCTTGTCCTAGATTACTAAAATCAGGATTTCATATCAAGCTCTCATTTTTATTAAACTAGCAGCATTTTTATAAAACTAGCATTTTATAAACTAGCATTTTTATAAAACTAGCAGCCCAGGCCTTCAGTCCCTATTTTAGCTTTTACACGTGTGCGTAATGCCATTTCATTCATATGCCTGTTGTGTCACATTCACAGCTATGTAACTTGTGGGAGTCTTAGCAGGAACTGGAAATTATCTCCACCAAATGGGTCTTATTCAGGCACCTAAAGGTTCAAAGTGTTCAGCCTCAGTAGGAATGGCCAGTTCATTTCAGCTCTTTTGAAAATCCACTCCCAAGGGTTGTTGGACCAAGCCCTTTATGTCTTGGTTTATACATTAATCCTGCTTTCAGCTGCAAAGTTTTACAAGACAAATTGAGAGAAGTTTTATTTCAGAATTAAAATACGCTAGGGGAAGACTTTCATTTCAAAACCAGAGCTGACTAGAGATCATGGGATTTTTGAATGGTTCTTATTTCAAAGGCATAATAGTGTCAAATTTATAAAAGTCATATATTCCCAATGGATTTGTTGTGACCATTTTTCCTTGATTCATTTTTGTTCCCTTTTTTTATGACGTGCGTGTTAACAAGCTCCGGTTTATGACCTTGACATTTGCTTATTTTTCTTTTGGAAGTCTTCATAAATCACCGATTTTTTTTTAATCTTTATGAATAAAACAACCAAAGAATAAGTCATTGAAATGGACAGAAGCAATTTCCTTTCTCCCTGTTTGTGCATAATAGTTGACTACGCCATATAAGCCATATAACGATAGGGAAACATTAGCATGGTAGAGAAAATGCAGCCATATCTGCATTTGACAAAATAACAGTGTATTCATGATGCTGTTGGCTTCTTAATTTCAAAAGGCAGATTTTAATATTACTGACTTCAGAGAAAGATAAGAAGGGCAGTGCATGAGACATTATCAGTCCAGTGTGGAAATAATGCATTCAAAATTAAAGACAGCAGTTTAATTAAGTGCATGAAAGGCTAGCTTTTATGATCATATTTCAAATACTCAAATGTCTTTTCATCCATTCTGCCGTATGACTTTACTTAATAATATATCAAGAACAAAAAATGTATTGGGGTCTTTCTGCAAATTCAATTAGTGCAATAAAAAGTGAAAAATAATTTCTTTTTTATTAAAAATAACTCAACCCTAACCCTTGTGATGACAAAGTGAGAGAGGAGGGGGAGAAAAAAGGCTAAAGAACTATGGAAATTCTGCCTTTGTTACGCGTTTATGTGTGCGCGAAATAGATGAAGTGTCACCATTAGTAACATTTGTCATTAAGAGGACTAATTGCATGCTGCTACAGTTAGTAGTTTATCAGATCCAGACCACAGCGTATTTACTTCTCTCTTTGGCTGCATGCACAGTGCAGCAGTAATTCCCTATTTTATGGGGTTGCTGTATGCAGGGTGATTATGCTAAAGCGTCATGACACATCGCAGTAGTGGTTTGCAGGTTAAGTACGACCTCTTGAATCCTTTCTACCTGCTAAGGGGTTTATAGCTAACGGAAGTGCAGAGAGTGTATTTTGTGTACTAAAAACAGAAGAACGAGCAAGACAAACCACCCCTCAAGAAGTGCGGCGTTGCAAGTGGGAAATCTTTAAGGATGGCATACAATGAAGGAAGAAATGTGTGTTTAGAAAAACGCACATTTCTGAGGCCAGTGAAAACAGGCTGGCAGAGGGATCAGTAATAAGATATTGAACTTTCAACTGAAAGCAGTAGGTTACGGGCTCCACCACGGCACACGTCGGGAGCGACTGAAAGTTATTACCACTTGTCAGCCCCTCGCTGACCTCTGCGAAATGAGGTGCTGGTCTCAGCCCCGTTCACGGGCTACGTTAAAACACAGCCAGCGCCACGGCCCGTTTGTCGTTCCCAGCCTCACAGCGAAGGCTCGTGTTGGTGGCCCGCGGCATAGACAACATCCCCACCTGCGAGGCTGGCTCATTCGGGTCAGGGCTTGAGGCAGGCTGGCAAATAATTTGAGCAAGCTTGAAACGCCACCACTGACTGCGGGTGGCTCTGGATAAATAAAAGATCTCATTTTCAGGAGCTGTATGTTCACAGGTTCCCCTTCATGCCAACATAACTAAATGTGGTCCTAAGAGTTGCTGAGGACTGTCTGGGTCTTGTTCTGTTTTTGGGCCCCTGCTGTACAAATTGCTTCCCCTCTGCTATCATTTTTCTGCTATTTGTCTTCTTCTTGGTTCTTTTAATACCAGCCTGTCTACCTAGGGACCATTTCCCGTTACGATTCTCTCGGTAGGTGTTCATGATTGGGCTATTTTCCAGGTATCTATTCATGTCCTTATCTCGTGTTGACTTCAAAATACTCCTCTCCCAGAGGTTTCCTTTGCATAATTGTCCATACTGTAAAGAATCAAACAGGCTGGATTTTGAAAATATAGCAATGATTTACAGTAGTGACTCTTCAGCTTTTTTAAGGCATAGTTTTTGTGTGACAGAGGTAAGAACTATATAAATGATCTTCATTTGTGAGTATGCAGGTACAAATAAGAGCAGCTAAATGTTTATGAAAACATGATTTAATCAGTATCTGTTGTTTTTTTCCTATAGGTAACCCTCCTGCGACAGGTACAGGAACTTTACACATCACCTTGGAGGATGTCAATGACAATATCCCGTCCCTTTATCCAACACTGGCGAAAGTCTGTGATGATGCGAAAGATCTCAGGGTAGTGGTATTAGGCGCATCAGATAAGGATCTTCATCCCAATACAGATCCATTCAAGTTTGAACTGAGTAAGCAATCTGGCCCAGATAAATTGTGGAGAATCACCAAGCTTAACAGTAAGTGTTTTTCATTTTTTTTTCCTTATGCATTCAGCCCTCCCTCCTCTGTATCCCAGCATACGCCTGCTGAGGGCTGGGCATTACCTACACTCAAGAGCAGGTCTGTGCGTGGAGGTCTTGCAGGACGGACCCTTTGTTGCTGCTTTTATGCTGCCCTGTGCTGTTCATTCTAGGAACATGCTAGCAGTCCGTCTGCATCTTTGCTGAAATCAGAACTTTTCCCCCTTCTTAATACATTACTGGCACTTTTCTCTTTTAGCTTTGCCTTAAGCAAGGGCTAATGATGCTGTAGACTTTTGTAAAGATTAACATATTTCATTGTATGGAACTTTTATGTGTGAGACCCATGCGGCTTTGCCGTAGGACAGCACAAGACTTTTGCATGGGCTTTAGCAATGCACTTGAAAAACTTCCTGATTTCATATACTTGGACTATTCACTCAGATGAACTGGGACTATAGACTATCAATTAAAAAGGTCACAGAACATGCTATACAATTGCAGAATATTTGTAAAGCAAATTGTGGGCATAAAGAAGTATGTTTCCTTGTAACATAGATTATGTCTATTTGTTGTCCAATATGTACTATTTATCTCTGGCACTATGGAATCTCTTAGCAGCTCCCTTCACATTCTGCTAGAGAAAGAACTAAAGATGGAAGTGATGTCTGTGTCTGCTTGCAGAAACCACTGTCATGGACAGTGGGGAAGAATCGTTTTCTCTAGCACTCTGCTGTTCTCCAGTCTCTAAACCGCTGCTCTGTTTAATCCTAAAAGAGTTAGCACACTCTCCTGGATGCCTACAGCTGTTACTCCTCACTGTTGCTCAGGTGGAACAGATGTAGGGAGCTGAAGGAGCATCGCTGCCCTTCACTGCCTTCTCAGTCAACTGGGGAGCACGTTCACCTGTGCTGCCCTGCAGGAAGGGTGGTTTTGGGGCAAGGGGTTAAGTTTATTCTTTCCTCTAGTATTGCTTTGGGGATAACATACCTTAGCGTTTCATTAGTATATTAGTTTCCACAGGCAAATTCTAATAATGTAAGGACCAAATAATATATTTAAACAAAAGGGACTCTTTGAAAGTCTTTCTTTTGATGAGGTTTGGAGTATGTTTGAAATTATCTCTTAAGTCCCTGAAAAGAATTTTTATACCTGCCTCTTCTTACCTCCAATTCTATTCTCTAATCCTTTACTTTGAGTGCTCTCATTTTCCTCTTAATTTCCATGGGTAATCATGGCGCACCTGGGATTGCTTACAGGTTCTTCTCCCCTCCCAAGTGACCATTATTTGGCTGCCTAATTCCCACCTCCTTATCCTTGCAGATACTCACGCGCAGGTCATCCTGCTGCAAAACCTGAAAAAGGCCAATTACAACATCCCCATCTCAGTGACAGATTCTGGGAAACCACCTTTGACTAACAATACAGAACTGAAATTGCAAGTGTGCTCCTGCAAGAAATCCAAAATGGACTGCAGTGCAACTGATGCCCTTCACATCAGCATGACCCTTATCCTTCTTTCACTCTTCAGTTTATTTTGTAAGTCTTTTCTGGAACTGTAAGTAATGAAGTATTATTTAGCAGCTTATTTGTTTACTTCATAAGGAAACCTACCTAAGGAGAAGTTAAATTCTGAGGAGGTAGCTGCATGAAAGAGGGAAGGGAGGATTTTTTTTTTTCTTTATAGTCAAAAAAATAGCAACAAATGCCTGGTTGTCAAATTAAGAGGTGATTGCAAATAGAAGTAATAATTTTAAGAAGAATCAAGGAGAATTAAAGCTAGCATATGATAAATTAAGAAGTACCAGCTGTAGTAACAGACTTGTGAGATGTTTTCTTTCATCTCTCCCCATTTGAATTCAATTCGGAAACAGAATCAGGAGATTAAAGGTGTTCTTACAACAATAGCTGTTCTGGGTCACCATGAAAATCAGTGCTGTCTGCTTCAATCTATTCCTCTGTACAAAGCATGCAAGCAACGGGAACATAAGGAACTTGGTCAAGATCCTGAGCTTAGGGACACCAAAAATTTGTAATCAGAATTGTAAGTCTGGGTTGGTGGAGAGAGAGCTGATACGTAGGGGAAACTTCTGCTGCTTCTGAAAGTTTTCTGAAAGAGTCTTACAAAATTCATAATTTGAATTGAGAGGAGTAAAAAAATCAAATGTAATGACTGAAGAGCAGTAATTCACACCCCTAGATCAGCCCTTGGCTTGCCCTGTGATAGCTTTCAGCAAATTTCTTTGATATACACTATTATTTTGAGTTCCTTATCTATAAGAAAAGGAGTAGCTTTATAGCTATGGTAGTAAATCTATTATTCAAGGATTATTGCCATTGTCTAATGTTAGTAAAATGCACTTTATGGTGAATTAATATCTGCACCATGGTCAAAGGCCTTACGTTCTTGATGAGATATAATCTACCATGAGGCAGAGAGAGAGGTCAAGGGAGAGAGAGTTTACACGCCTGGGGTTTGGTATATGCTTGATTACACTTCTTGTATACTGTAAGGAAAAAAGAACTGACTACTTTTATCCCAAAGGGTTAGCATGAAGGTCGTTGTGAGAGAATTAGAAATCACTAATGTTTGTGATGCTCTTTGAAGATGAAAAGGACTGTATAAATGCTAAGTGCAAATTCCCATTCTTTGTTCCAATCAGTGACATCTGAAGTATCTCCACTGGCTTTCGTTCAGTTATTCTGGGTTTAGTCTGCTGGAACCAAAAGCACAATTCAGCTGTTAGAATTAAAATGTTAGAAATACTTGGCAGTATATGGCGCTATCATATTGGTGCTATAAATATGCAGCTCATTGATTTAAATATATTCTTGCTACCACTTCATAAATGTTGCTGGGCTATACAAGGCATGACTTTTGCCACGAGGATAACTTTCATCTGTCATGATTTGCATTTGAACTTTATTTACATTCATGCATCTGCTCAGAATACAGTGTAGTAGAAAAAAGTGTTTTATTTTTGAGAAAGTATCCATGTTGCTGTTTCTAGTCCCCAAAGAAATCCTATCATTTTCCTTGTATTGAATTATAAAAAGTAGTTCTAGGTATCGGAAGGCTGTTCCTGCTGGTTGCAGCTCTTTGCAGCTAAGCTGCAGACAGAATAGGGGCCCGTGGCATCGGGAAGGTTCGTGGCCCTCAGAACAATGGCAGGATTGCCTGCCATGATCCCCCTCCTACCGTAAAAGGATGAGTTGCGCTGAATAGTCTTTATATTGTGGAACAACACAGAAATGTCTACAGCCTTTTCCACAACCTTATATTCTGTGAGGGTACTGTATTAAAAATGGAGTAAGAGGGCTGGGACTGTAAGCAGAGCATGGTGTAAGACTGAAAGCAGGGAGCACATTGCACGAGCAACATGAGCAATGCAGCCTGGACAGACCACCCAGCTGAAGGCACGCGGTTAAAGACTGCCTCGTACTGGTCTCCAATTCAGCAGGCCTCTAGCACAAGCGATACTCACGTAATCTGCCAGGGCAGTCTTTTCAGTCTGCTGGCCAAGCAATAGCACAAAAACCAGGGGAAACACCAGCAGAGTTGAAGGGAAGGAAAGATCTCCCTTTCCTGGACAGAGACTTCTGTATGCACAGTTGTGAGTGAGAGCATGAATTCGACAGATAGGCTTCAGCATGCAGAGACTTAATCCTCAACACAGGACCACATACAGGTTTTGGCCAATATTTGCTACTATTCAGTTATGTGTTTCTGATCCAACCAGTTCCACAAAGGGAGGCTGGTATCATGTTGTCCAGTACAGGTATTTATTTATTCCTGCTTATGCAAAGCCAGCTAGCATAATAACTTCCATAACCCCTTTCCCCAGGTGTAAATAACTATATGAGACATAAAAGAATGAGGCCAGGAGCCAATTAAATTCATGTGGTTCTGTATTTGAACTTTCCTAAAATGTGCTGATATCATTGCATTCCCAATTCATTTTCACACATAGTTCTTTTATAACTGCGATTAGTTCCATCACAATGTTTTGTATAGTCCAAATATTTATCAGAGTAATCAAAGATTACGATGCCATAAAAACAAAGAGAACTTTAGTGCTTATTGAACAGATGAAATATCCCATTTCTAGTGGCAAGTTATGGGTTTAATTTTTGAAAAAGCCCTTACGTGGCTCGCTTTGCTCCCAGTGTTTGTTTTACGAGGCTCTTGTTCCTAGGAGGTAAATCCTTCAGTCAAATGAACTTTGCTATTGATGCCAAAGTATTTATTTTTGTATTTGACGTGTGGCATGAGGTTAGATAGCCCTGTGAAAGAGCTGTTCATGATAAAAATGCCCTGCATGAATCTCCCCTTCATACAAAACATCGTGGTATTATCATTTAAATGGTGCAATTATTATCTATACTTAGAATATGTGCCTCTTTTGTAAGTCACAGAAGAAGTCATATGTGGCAGATTTCTGAAGTGTCTGAGCACAGAACTGAAGAGCCTGATTAAAACTGTAATGCATGCAAAAAGCAGCAGTTTCACCTATTCTGTAGCTGTCCTACTGTGTTCAGTATACTGAGAGATAATGGGATAGCGAGTATAGAGTTGCCCAGAAGCCCTTGGAAAGGTAGATAAACTTAGAACAAGAAAAATCCGGGATTCTTGTCTGCTAGAAGTAGCAAATGCCAGCTGTCAAGCTCTATGGATCCACTGCTGTTATTTCACAACAAAACAATAAGATGTTTGGTGGAATTAAAAGGTGGTGAATACAGAGTTGATTTTTAACAAGGGGCATGTCTGCGTAATTCGTGCTTAGCCTCACAAGCTTATTACCTTGCCAGCTTGACTTCAGTGATTCCCAGTGGTATGTGGTGGACAGGAACAGAACTGTCCAAAGTTGTTATAGTTAATGGTAGCAAATATTGGAAGGAATATTCAATTTTATCCATCATTAACAGAGATAGCCTGTCACTGTCAAAGTTAAGGAAGTGACCTAGCACAGTGGCAGATTGTCCTCTCTCAGCTTTTCTTCTCCGTGCATGGAGACAAGGTAGGACCAAATTGCTCAGATTTAGTCTAGAATTAGTAACTCAGGTCGAGGAAAGAGATCAGAAAACAGATCTGGGTTTCTAGTCAGAGAGAAGGACCACAGAAATCAGTTACCAAGGAAGAGTGGGAAAAAGTAGGAGAAGGAGAGAGTATAATAGGGAGCATGGCTGGTACTGGGCCTGAGTTAATCCAGGTTGTCCCTTGCTGCTCTCTTGTCTCTTAACTGTCTCTTCGTGCTTTTAACTGACTCAGCTAAAACATCTTTGTTCAGAGTGAACGCAGCTGTGTACAGGGCTCATGACCAGTAAATTTATTAGCAAGTTCCTTTGTACTGCAAGTCTCCTAGACATTTTTAGTAAGAGAGCATCTACAAAATTCCATAATGACTAGACAGAGAGAGAGAAAATCGCCCATAATTGCAACCTACAAACTGTCAGCTGCTGTTTCATTTAGGTACTGAATGAACAGAAAAGGGAGAATAGCTGTCCTTGCAAATTTTATTCAAGTACCATCAATTTTGCAATAAATCACTATAAATATGTTTCACAAACATTTAACAGCAATCTCTTTTCAAGAAGTATCGGGTTTGGCAGAGCTGGTTTTTTGTCCTTTGGCAATGCCAGGGTAGAGTGAGTTTCCACGAGGAACTTGATCTCAACAAGCGAAATCAGAGATATGCATCAAAAGACTTGTAGGACGTGAGTTACAGAGAAGTGACTGGGAAACATTTGAATGTCTTCCAAATTTTTCTGGTTGTTTCCTAATAGTTCAAAGGAAGACCAAGATAAAAACAAATTTGTTGATATTATTGTAATGAAGTCAGCAACAAAAACTGCCCCAGCCTTATGGGAGACCAGACAATAACTCATGTAGCTGGCAGGACTGGGTTTTATATCATTTACAAATTATTCATATTGTTATTTAAAGGAGTACTTGAATTCGATTTTGCAATAGTTATTTCACTTAATTATATAATCACAGAATGATAATTGCATTTCATAATTCCTCTTACATTCTAAGACTAAGACTCAAATGTATCGAAACAAGGGACTAAAATAAGAACCAAAGGCACATTAGTCATGTCCGGAACAAGTAGAATTCAGAGTGATTCCATTAGAAGGTCACTCACACTAGCAATAATATTTTACTTAAATTCCCTTGTAAGAAGAAGACTAGGCCTTAAACATGTCGTGCTGAAGAACCAAATCTGATACCTTAGTTGACTGTTAACGAATGACAAGAAACACTTTACTTTTTGTTTTGTGTTGTTTTGTTAACCTGGCCAGTGGACTATGAAGTTTTAAGTTTACTTGAGCCTAAATAAGTAAAATATTCCATTATTATGGACAGAAAGTAAAGGGTGTGTATGTGTGGGATGAGAGGGGGAAGATTGCTATGAAGAAACTATATGAGCTGAAGGTCCCTACTTGGAAATTAATTTATCAAGTGTGAAAGGTCTCAGGTGTGCTGAGAAACATAGACTCTCACAGATGTCAGTGCTGCGATTGCAAATAAGCCTTAA